AATGATCCAAGTCTAAAAAGCACCTATGTAAGCTCACTTCCTGCAGAGTTCCAACCAGAACTCGCCAGAATGGCTACCGCAGCCAACAAAGACTTTACAGCCTTAACCATGGGTATGATGAATCCAGAAATCTTTCCACCTCACTTTTGGAAAAAGGAGACTACATACTTCATAGCTGCTGATGGAAAAACCTTTAAAATAGAGGTTATTTCCCGAGCATCAGTGAGCATCAGACTCTTCAAAGACTGTATTATTTGGTCCAGAGTCATTGGAAGTAAGCTACCCAACAAAGATCTTCTAATAGGAATGGATGTCTTCAGTTTTGTCCTTAAGGCAATTGGGATTGGATTTTGAACAGTTTTACACCATATGGCCCAAAGAGTTGGTTCAGACAGATCCCACCCAATTTCACAGAATAATTCGAAGATCCCGGAGTGGTCTTCTGTAGGGTCAAACATAGATGGAGGAACTGTTTTAAATCTTAAAGTCTCATGAAGATAATAAAAATAATGAGCTAAGTTTACTGCGTGGGTTTGTAGCTTGTAGATGATCTGGTAATGAAGTGTGGCACAGACAACATCAGAGATCTGGGCTGCTCCAGTGATCTGGACTTGAACCTTTAGTCGGTCTGGCATGGTGAAGTCTTTTAAACTAACATTATAGTTGGAAAATAATGTTAATACAACACTCCCAGCATGAAGTGTGGTTAAGACTGTGCCCATCACCACATTTTCATAATGGAGGTAGCTAGTGTCTAGCAAGGAAACCCTTACAGAGACGGGAAGTTCACGTCTTTCATGAAGTGTGAGCATCAATCTGATGGCTCCATAATGAAGATGGGTATAGTGTCACTCTTTTGATAAAAAAATATATATACCTTTATAAAATACAAATATAAAATAATTCATAAATATGCACTTTGATCGGCCGATAGCCTACTTGTCATGTTTCGAATGAATGTATTCCTATCAAATAGGTAATGTGTTTCTTATTTTAATATTTTTTTGAATATAATTATTGTTGATGCTAATTAAGAATTAGGCATGATTGTTGATTGACATAAAACTAGAGGAAATGGTGTTTTTGAAAGTTGGATATCTCATTGTAAAGATATTAGTGCGATACTTGATGAGCCTAGTTGTTGAAAAATCCTCCTTGAGTAAGCATTATCTCTTAGAATGAGTTGTTGATTCTTCTCTGGATCCTTAGTCAATGTTGAGTAGGATACGAAGTTGATGGTTAAACCCTTAACTGGTTACTAGAGAGGAGTGCAGTATCGCAAGGATAGTTAGCAAGTTAAGTCCACATTGACTTGGTTAATGCATGTCAATGTTGTGGCAGACCCATACTGAAGTTATGTTATACCTGAATGTGGTACTAAACTTTTTTAGTTTAAGTGACGACATTCAAAAAATTATGTTATAGGGATTGGTTTCCCAATTGGTTGTTAATCTAATAGGCGTAAAAAGATCAGTTAGTTCAGTAGGGTCAAACCATTTAGATGGCTCATCCTTATTGTGAGCGATCTTTATAAGTGAATGTGTGACGACATATATAATTAAAGCATGTTGCATATGATGTGTTGTTTTGGTGTGTTCATATGCTATGTGAAGTTGTATGTTGAGTGACATTGATGTGGTGAAATATGAAGTATCATATGTTGTAAGTTGCTTACTTTTGTAAGGTTGTTAAAAATCATGTTGAGATGTTTGTTGTATTGATATGTTGTAGCTCATGAGGTAATATGTGTACAATTTACATGTCGTGGGAAGTATAGATACTTCTACTTCTATACTCATATTATGTTTTTTTTCCTTTTTGTATATTAACATACCCTTGTATTTTCTTTGTGATTGGACTGCGATAATCATATTTATATGAAAATAAAATAAGGTTAAGCTAGAAGCTTCTATGTCTTTTATGATAGTTTTAGTAGTTATTGTTTGACCAACAACTTAGAATTTTATTTTACAATGTTAGATTACTATACGTGTGTATATATATATATATATATATATATATATATACTTATACAGTTATTTTATTCTCCTCAATTGAATTATACTTATATATATTTTTATGGTGCATATGTTCAAGTATAGAGATTATATTAATCCTAAACAATTAATTATTATTTGTTGGTTCTCATTAATTCTGTCAAGTGTAAGATAATGACTTGTTACACTTTTTTCTCCTGAAAGTACTTTTAAAAAAAACTTATTTAAAGAATCTTGTACCTGCTCAAGGATACACGCGTAGTCTTCTTGGTAAGAAGGGCCGAACGGATACTTCAAACGGATTCGTCAGAGGGGGGAGGTACCTGCAAAAGGTACTCCGACGATCAAGTCAGGACAAGCACGATATTCTAGGATAATTAATGAACAGTGACGTACCTCGTTGCGTGTGACCTATTTATAATACTTGACATGGGCCTGAACGTGGTGGGCCCATTCTAATCTTTACCAAATTAGGTAATACGATGCTAATCAGCTAATCATGTCTTAATTAGGCGCTTGTCCTTGTTAACTATGATTTGTACTATAATCCGCTTAACCTATCGGCACATTGCCGAGCCGACAGGCTAATGCTTGGGAGGTTGCATGTCTTCGACTGTTGACCGGGTCGGTAAACGTTTACTTGGTAATCCTATCGGATCGGCATTTGGCCGAGCCGATACGTAGGATGCGGGGATGCATCATGCCGTTTGCATCGGCCTTCAGCTGGGCCGATGCTAACGTCAACCTTGGGTATGGTCCAGTTCGCATGGGTGTCTGACGGAACGGCACGTGTTGGTCAACGTGACCGATAGGGTCCTCCCGGTACACAAGCCCCCCAGCCTTGAGGAGTGAAGCAACGTAAAGGATAAATGTGAAGGGAAATAGTGTACTTTGGCTGCTGTTTTGGAGGGAAGGCCAAGGGTTACAATCATTGGTGGGAAACGAAGGGTTGTAACCGTTGGGCACCGGGCGCATGCGAGGAGTTACGGTGGGAAACAATTGTAGCCGCTGTGATAATACCAAAGGTTATAACCGTTAGGTATTAATGACGCATGAGAGGGGTTGCGCATCGCAGACCGTCGGATCGAAATGATCCAACGGTGCACAGGAGGGCGTCTCTTCAGATACTTACGACAAACTCCTATAAATAGGTGTATGGGGGGTGGTCCCAAAGACACTTATCAGTTACTCTAAGCCGAGATCGTCTGCATTTGAGCACTCCACAGCGATAAGTCAAGTTCAAAACTCAGGTACGTAATGGCTAATCTAGGTGTTGTTCATGTTGACTCCTCTGGGGGCGAAGGGGAATCTAGGTTGGGGGCGACGCCGGACCGAGATGTTGCCTCGGCCTCGGCTTCAAATGGTGATAATACGGGATCCGTTTCTGGGTCTGAACGGTCGCAGAGTGGTGATTCTTCGTCAGCTGTAGCTTCAGATGATCATCCGAGTATGGGTGGCGGATCATCAAGGAGTTTTGCTCCCATATCGACCCCTGGATATTCGTGGGTGCACGGCGAGGTTGGTAGCGTGTATTCCCCATACACTGATAATAAGTCTCTTGTTAACTTCGTATCGGCCACGAGATTCTTAAACTTTCCTGAAGATGAAGAGCCCTCCGCGATCTTCTTCCAGCCGTGCCGAGGTGATGGGGCGCCGAACCCGGATTTTGTATATTTGGGCCAAGGGTCGTCCAAATATCCATTCTTTTACGTGTATGATTATATGTTCCGGGATTTGAAGATATCCCTCCCTTTTGACAACTATTTTATGGGTATACTTCGGCTCCTGAACGTGGCGCCGAGTCAACTTCATCCAAACACTTGGGCGGCAATGCAAGGGTTTAGGCATCTGTGCTTGGCTCTCGGCCTCTCTCCTACCCCGCATCTATTCCTGCACTTTTATTCGTCTCGGCCTACCAAGAAGGCGAAGTGGTTGTCATTGATTCGGCACCATGATTGCCTGCTTCAGCCGTTCACTACTTCCTACAAAAAATTTAAAGTGGGGTTTATGAAGGTGATGATTCGGCCAGAGACGGGTAATAAATATTTCTTTGATGCCAAAGGGAATTCACTTTTTCCCTTGTACTGGACTCGGAAGCCGAGAAAATATGACACGGTTTCTAAATCGCGTATGTCCCCGGGGGAGAATTTGAGTCTAAAATTTTTAGAGAAGCTGCCTCGGCCTCTACCTTGTCGTCCTCTAGTTCGATTGTTTGAATCGGCCGACGTAGTTGAGGAGCTAATTGGTATAGTACCTTTCTTACTTGTTTAAATGATTAGCTCTGAATCTCAGTTCAAACTTTGGTAAATAAATTTTTTCCTAGTTCATAGTAGAATAAATATGTAAAACATCAATCATTCAACATTATTTCTATAACCAATCATTGTTGTCGGACTTTGATTACTTTTGGAACTGTCAACTGGATATTATCTTTGAGAATAAGGATAGGTAATTGAATTTGACAAAACCCTGGTGCTCATTCAACATACATTTGGTTTTGCAAAAGCTACGACAGACGATTCGACAAAAATGGGATACATTACTATTTCGCAATGAATTAACGAAGCTAACATTATTTCTTTAATTGGATCATCTCTGTATCTACGTTAATTCACTATGCAATGCAATTCTTTTTGAACATAGGTGATCATGTTCCATGTAGGATCACCAAGATTATCTCGATTCAATTTTCATCTGCAGGGAATCCTAACCATTAAAGAAAAACTTTATACAATTTTGTCAGTAAGAAACTCTACATTATCGAATTTGAACTGCACGACCTTATAATTCTTGATGAACAGCGGGAGATCGTATTAAAAGGGAATATCTAAAGTGTGCAGGTTTACAAAAATATCACCACTATCGTATTATTTACGTCCCACTTCTCAGACCTATTTTTTGAGAACTCAACGCTTGTTAAAAACAGAAAACCATTTCCAGAAATCTAAAATTAAAACTACAGAAGCTTTGTGCCAAAACAAGGCAAAAAAATGTATTTGGGCTGTAACAAAGATTTATCTAGTTGTTATAAGTTTTAAAGACGTGAATTAAAAAACATTTAATGAAAAACAAAAAGAAACAAGGAATAAATCATCTCATATTGAATTTTCACGTCACACTATTTCCTTGACAACATCTTGAATCAGCTCCATACAGCAGAATAAAAAAAAAACTTGGAATAAACAATAGTGGGTTTCTCATGAGCATCATCCGAACTGTAAACTTATCAGAGTAGATCAATTTTGCCACTCTCTACAAGTGCCTTTATTGATTTATAACATATGAAGTGCAGGACACCTGGCTCCATCTCAAACAGCTTCGACCTGCCACAATAGTCGATTGAACAATTTTTTACCTTTTTCTAAACAGAGCAGAATAAATTCATGCAAGAATAAGGGAATTGCCTGTCATCAACAGGTCCATCTTCGAGTTGAATTCCCGTGAGATACTCTTTACTTCTACACAAAACAAATGTGTCTAGTTGTGGTTCTGGGACTGAAATCACCACATCTTGAATCAGCTCCATACAGCAGAATAAAAAAAAAACTTGGAATAAACAATAGTGGGTTTCTCATGAGCATCATCCGAACTGTAAACTTATCAGAGTAGATCAATTTTGCCACTCTCTACAAGTGCCTTTATTGATTTATAACATATGAAGTGCAGGACACCTGGCTCCATCTCAAACAGCTTCGACCTGCCACAATAGTCGATTGAACAATTTTTTACCTTTTTCTAAACAGAGCAGAATAAATTCATGCAAGAATAAGGGAATTGCCTGTCATCAACAGGTCCATCTTCGAGTTGAATTCCCGTGAGATACTCTTTACTTCTACACAAAACAAATGTGTCTAGTTGTGGTTCTGGGACTGAAATATACAAACAAAACAAGTGTCACAGCTCACAATAGATGGTTCTAGTTCATTTAACAGTTAGTTATACTGAAATACCAAAATCTTATTTAGAAAGCTGGAAATTACACGAAAAGCTACAAGCATAAAGACCAAAATTATCAGAAAAGTACTACAGAACTTATCATCAGACTTTTTAATCTAAGAAATGTAAATTATTTCACGCTACTTATCTTGAATCAGCTCCATACAGCAGAATAAAAAAAAAACTTGGAATAAACAATAGTGGGTTTCTCATGAGCATCATCCGAACTGTAAACTTATCAGAGTAGATCAATTTTGCCACTCTCTACAAAGACATGCCATATCCGGAAAGGGCCATCCCAGTTGGCTGATAGCTTCCCTTCTGAAGAGTTGCGTCTGGCTGACCCGGTTGCTCTCCATACAAGATTGCCTTCGTGAAATGTTCTCGGCTTAACACTTGAATTGAAACGGCGTGTCATGCGTTGTTTACATGCCTCGGTCACAATCTGTGCTTTTTCCCGTGCTTCATCAAAGACATCAAGCTCGGCTCAGAGCGAAGCATTGTTAGACTCCTCATGGAAGTGTTGTCTTCCAATAGTCGATTGAACAATTTTTTACCTTTTTCTAAACAGAGCAGAATAAATTCATGCAAGAATAAGGGAATTGCCTGTCATCAACAGGTCCATCTTCGAGTTGAATTCCCGTGAGATACTCTTTACTTCTACACAAAACAAATGTGTCTAGTTGTGGTTCTGGGACTGAAATATACAAACAAAACAAGTGTCACAGCTCACAATAGATGGTTCTAGTTCATTTAACAGTTAGTTATACTGAAATACCAAAATCTTATTTAGAAAGCTGGAAATTACACGAAAAGCTACAAGCATAAAGACCAAAATTATCAGAAAAGTACTACAGAACTTATCATCAGACTTTTTAATCTAAGAAATGTAAATTATTTCACGCTACTTATCAAAATGCCAACAGGGTAATAAACAGGCTGCTAATTTCAAGGTTATCAATAACGAATAACGGTTCACTGTGGTAAGCCAAAAATCTACCATAAAACAAAGTTTTAGGATGTATGACTTGTGCTTACTACTTAACATTATGCTATAAGCGAAACAGAATTGGGAACAACCTTATAGGTTTAATGTAGAAAATAACATAACAGAAAACATGATAATGAAATTCTAAAATACAGAGAACTAAATTCCAAAATTTTGAAAAACAGAGAACAAAAACATTGAACAAATGAAGAACAAGAACAATCATACCAAGAATGAGAGAAAAAAAAGAGAGAGAAAGAAATGAGGAACATCTGAAGAAATGAAAAAAAGATGAAAAAAACAAAGAAAAGGAAAGAAATTTAAGGAAGAAGAAAGAACAAACAGAAAACAAAAACAAGCCTTATGAGTCACTGGATTTGTTTGCCAAAAAACTTTCTGAAGCTCAGGCCACCATGGTTCAGGTTGCCGGTGAGGCTGGTGGCCTAAGAAGGCTCACCATAGTTGTCTGTTTGCAACTTAGGAGTTTCATAAGAGAGAAGATGAGAAGAAAAAAAAAAGGATGAGGAGGAATTCTGCCATGAGCACCACAAAGTCATGGCCATGGCAGATATGGTGGGTTACATAGCGGATATGGCAGACACTGTTATATAATGGAAAATAAGGAATAGCGAATGGTGGAGGGGTTAAAAAATGTCATGTTATACCTTTATGACGGTGCCATAACTGTTATTTGTTAATATTGGCTGATTTTCAGGCAAAGCAAATTTGATTACCCATTCAAACACATAATGGTCCAAAAGAAATAATGAAACAAAATAACCTATATTGTCTTCTCTAAGGATGAAAAATTATTAAATTACCCATATCATCCTCTCCACTTGTTACAGATTGCTTAAGAACAGACTGATAATTTTCAGGCAACTTTGACAGAACACTCTCCTCCAGATGTTGCTTTAGGTCTTCTATACACCTGCAAGCAGAAAACTAGATTCAAAAACCACAAGTATGCTTTAATGCTATCAGTTAAAACACAGACCTAGTCAAAAAGCAAATTATAAAAAAAGACAATTTGAAAGATAGCTTTACGCATTGGTGAACTCTTTCTCGTCTTTAGATAGCCTGTTCCAAAGTTCATTAGTCTTTCGGATGTGGAACATGTACTTTTCAATCTACAATAAAAAAAGTGACTATAACATTATTAGAAAATAAAAAATAAAAAATATAACGAACAGAGCAATCAGTGAAGTCAATTCCAGCTAGCCCAGTCTTCAAATAGTTCGCAACAAACATGTGCCATAATTATTTTAACCTATTATAAAGGTAGTAAAAATGAAAAACACAAAACTATTATCAGAGACAAAATATTTAACGAAAAGAAAGTCCATAAAGAAAATTCAATTTACATCTAGTTGAAGAATCACTCTATCATTGCTAATACTCGAGGTTGAGACTACAATAAATTTCAACAGTTCATTTTTCTTTTATTTTTGGTTTAATTAATCATTTGGTCCTTAGAACGATACAATTTTTACATTTTAGTCTTTACACCTAGAAACTATTCGTTTTAGTCCTTACTGATACATTTTAATTCATTTTAGGTGTAGGAACTAAAATGTAAAGAAACCAAATATGTAATTAAACCTTCTTTATTTATTTACTTTTTGTTCTTATATCATCTTCCTTTGAAGACAATCCTATTCGAGGCACTATCAGACACTAAATGTAAGCACCACCTCTCTCAGCAGATATTCAAACCTTGATTTGTTGCATTGCAGAAACTAGTCCTATTCACTATTCAACTACAATTTTTCTTAATTCTTATATTCTTTTTAATTCAAAAAAATTATAAAGACAAAAGAAAAAAAAGAACTAACTAAGAGCCTAGTTTTTTGCTTAATTGTTATGTAATAAAAGAATTTAGAGTGAACCTTTTGGATGCGGATCCGGAGATATGATCGGAA